CGACAGCGATCATCACGCTGTAACATCTCCACATCAGGCGCCGTGCCATGAGTCTCCTGTAAACACACAGCGTCGAACCTGCCAACAAGACCATGCGTCTGCTTATGCCGCCGAGCTGCCAGTGGTGACGAAGTAGAGTGCGATGAGAAAAAGAGCACGTGTATTCCAAGAGCACAAGGTAAGCGCAGAAGAGGGAGCAAACACCCCGTTCGCTCCAGAGGACGGGTCACCAGGGGTAAACGGTCCGCCTGAATTAAGATTAAAACACGGGTTGGCTGGCTGAGCACTGTCCTGGCTAGTCGGCACACGGGCCCGATGGTTCCCACCGACAGGCCCCACATCCCAGGGAGGGCCGGAACCACCAGGGGCCCGACAAAAATTGCCAGGCAGCGCACAAGGAATCCCGAGGCAGGGTGCTCCAGGACAACTGGGGGCCTCACGCAAAGTGCCGAATCTGACCAAAAAGGGTTGCAATGCAGCCAGCGTGCTCACCTACTCCGAACGTTCCGAGGGCCTCAGGAATCAGAACGAGTTCGGGGCGACCGCACTCAAGGACCGTGACCTTCGCAAGAACCACTGGGTGCACTGCCGTAGTGAGACCGTATATCTGACCGCCGAGACCGTTGCTGCCCACCTGGAAACCTTTCTCCCCCAAGACCTTCCCGATGATCGCACGGGTCTGTCCCAGGTAGTAGAACAACTTACGGCTAGCGGGGGGCAAGTCGCGACGCGCACGGAGCTCCCAGCCAAGGTTATCAATCGGGCTCTGGTACACAGTCTTACCAATGGTCTGGCTCTTACCGAAGAACTGGGGAAGTCAAGAATCGCCTTCCGCGTGAGGGAGTACGCGCGAACGATCGGTTCTTCGCCCGCTGGACTACACGCAGCAACAATAGGGGCCACCGCTTCCTTGAGAGACGCTTCCAGTAAGGGCATCTCAAAACCGAGAACAATAATACGAATGGCACTGGCTTGGTCTGGTCCCAACGTCCTCATCATCTCCCGACGCCCTCCATCCCCATCACCTCCCACGAGCTCGAACTCCGAATCGGCGCGAGTCGACGAACCAGCCGAGAGCTTCTGCTGTAACTCATGAATCTGAACATCGATCTTGGCCACTACGGCAGCCAACTTCGCATCTGTGTCTACCGAGACCCGGTGAATCGCTGCGTCCTGGGATTTCTTAATCTCTGCCCAACGAGCCTCCGAGCGACGATTCATCTCAGCGAACTCATCCTGCATCCGATCAAGGTTGTTCCCCATCACTGTCATCTGCTGGCGAGCAACTCAAAGTCTGCTGTGTGCGTGGTAAACCCTTCTTTCAAGATCGCCGTCGACGCGCTGAGCTGCACGGACGCATCCGACTGAACCTCGGGCACGGGCGGCGGCGCAACCCCTCCCTCAGCCCCCGCGGGGGCAGGAGAGGGAGTCGGTCCAAGCAAGCCCTTCATGGAGCCTGCCGCACGAACAGCTTCACCCATGGCTAGAGGGCGTGAAAAGGGAGGCGGGCGGCCGACGGCCGAGGCGCGCGCGGCCCGAGGGGGAGGGAACAGGAGGGCCCGAGGAGCGGGTCGGGGGGGGCCAGGCCGAGCGGGTCGCGCAGACCACCCTGAGCCGATACGGCTTGAGCCAAAAGGGCTACGGACGAGGAGGAGAAGGAGGAGGAGGAGGAGGAGGTGGAGGAGGAGGAGGAGGAGAAGACGCTGCAGGGGGGAACGTCGCGCACTGCGCAGACGGCCACCTACGGGGGGGGCGCCGCGAATGGACGCCCCGCCCTTGCCTCGCTGCGCGCGGGGGGCCAAAATTGTTACGAAGGCACCGAATTCAAGAGTTAGCGCGCCCTCGGGGGCTGAGGCCGCCAGTGACCAGAAGAAAAAAGAAACTGTGGCCCCGCAGGGGGCCGAACCCATCGGGTTTCGGGGTCTATGGGCAGGAGCGGCCTCGGACCAGGGATAAACCGACCACCGGCCTTCCCCTCGTCGGCGGGGCGCCGTCCCGAGAGAAACAGGCGTCGGTTGCGTTGGGCGCGCTCTGACATGATGCGCCCTTCATGCGCATGACAGTCTACCAGTAAATGGCCTGAAATGCCAATGCTATGCGCGAAGCACCGCCTGCCCCGAGGAGACCCAAAGACGGCGTCCTCTCGCGGGCTCCGCGGGGGCCGCGCGTGGCAACGGCGGCAGGGCGGCGGGAATGGTTTCATCGGCCCGTGTGGGCCGATTGTTCCGTCGTGAGGTAGTGCGGCGACGCTGGGCGCTCGGCGCGGAAACGGGGCCAGGGCGCGAAGGGGCTTCTGGGGAGGCTGACCCGACGCCCTCAGGAGCCAAGACCCTCGCATTCGCAACTTGCAACAGGCTGGCATCAGGATAATTATACTCTATGGCGTTGTTGAAGCCAACCCGCCTCCTGACACTACGCGTGCTAGGAGACCTGGAACGCTCGCGCGCCCTGGTCTCCGCATGTTTAAGTCGCTGATGGCGGGCCTCCTGAGGCTCGCCATCCCACTCGCGTTTCAGGCCCTCCCAGTCCCGACTCGGGACTCCCGAGGACTCCCATGGAAGTCCGCGAGCCCAGGAGAGCCTAGGAAAGGGGGAGGCTGCAAGGTAATGGCAGCGCGGCCGTCTGCGTCGGTGCCCGGCGACGCAGATGGCCAATGCTCGCCGCCTCTGCCGACCTCTCCCGATAGCTGCGCATCGCCGGAAGCCCCGACATTCGGGAGAGCCGAAACGATTGCACGCATCACAAGGACAAAACCACGGGCCAAACACCTTTCGGCGCCCTTCCGCTTCACCGAAGTTTCGGTCTTCGCCCTAACCCTGCAAACATTACAATGCCAAAGATTGTCTCGGATCTTAACCATGACGTGGCGCAGGTTCGGGTCTATCGGCAAATCGGGGGACGGGGCTCGCGTCGGCCTAGCTTTCTTGCTAGGGCGGGGTACGGTGTGGACACGGCCAGGCCCCGCATGATGCAGGTGCGCGGACACAAGCCAATGCAACGCATGTCGGACAGACCTCAAAGCCACGAGCGTCGCTCGCTTCGCTGAGCTTTCAAGCGCGTGAAGGTCCCGACCCTGGCGCGCCGCCTGGTCAGCCCAGCGATTGCCGCGAGCCTCAAACGAGTCACCCGATTGATGCCCCCGAACGTGCGTGACTTGTATGGCCTCTCCAAGGGCCCCGAAATCATCTATCTTGGCCCAGATGGAGGTCCATAGATCTGTATTGGGCCTGCGAGGCCCACAGGTAAAAGCATGGCCTGCAGCAGGCCCATCAATGATCCCCAGGAAATCCGTATGGACGTAAATGGGAGGAACACACACGCTCAGTACTTGGAGAAATGCGTATAGTTCAGCACGTGGGGAGCTCTGAAACGGACCATGGAGAGCACCATCGACCAGCAGTTCAATGCCACCTGGCCTGTCTTGTAATATTGCAACCCCCAAACCAGCTCGCGTAGCTTCTGGCCAACACCAAACCTTCTGGCATGCACAATCCGTGAAAATTTTTCCCGTGACCATGTCGAGCGAACCGTACTGCACGTGCCATCGATGGCTATCGTCCTGCCTCGGCAACGGCGGGAAGCACGATCTCGGTGCTAGACCTTTCGTCCAGAACCAAGACCCAGACGAAATTGCTGGGAAATCGTGCATGTCGACACCACCTATTGCCTTGTGCCGCTGGTGTGCTCTGCCGTTAGTCCCAAAATATGTGGTAGCTGTTACACGTGGCATTCGGAGGTGCGGGCATTCGGAGGTGCGGGCGTAGCCGTTCAAATAGCCAAGGCGGAGACCAGAAACCACCACTCACAATAGTGCGAAGCATGGCCGCTTCCGCGTAGCTAGGAACCCAGGGCGGCGACCGAGGTATGCCCTCCTCCTCCTGACGATCCTCATCATAATCTTCTTCGGGGGCATGTGGGGCACCTTTGAGGAGGCCTATGATGGGCTCGATCCAATAACCGAGGGGCTCCTTTGGATCCATTGTGAGGTCTGCTGGGTTGTTCCTGCTAGCCCAATCTTCCCAAAGACGTCGCACCCCAGCGGCACGGGCAAGGTCTCGCACATTAACTGGTGTTGCCGTGCGAAGATAATTCTGTCGCCTTTTATCGGTGACAAATACAAAAGCGGAAAAAGAGCGCCAGCCCAAGCCTTGCACAGCAAGCAACATGGCACCGGTGGTGCCGACCACCTTTTCCCAAGGCGAGGTGGCCTTGAGAACGCGAAACACCTGTCGCCTCCACGCCTGCTGCAGAATGTCATGAGATATGCTCTTGTCCCAGACCAGGAGGCCCACTGAAAGACGGGTTGAACCCAGCATGCTATCTGAGGATCTTCGGAGTGAGAACCCTGGAGGCAGGAAGTTATCCACGATGATGTGGAGGCCCCAGGGGTGTACCACGTACTTCTCATGACGCTCCGCATCTGACGCACCAGGGAGGGCGGAGCGCCATGCACTCCGACTCCGTAATGCATGGCCGACGGTAACGCCTGTCGGGCATAGCGTGAGACCACGGCCCCAGCCTTCCGAAGAGTAGAGATGCGAGGATCTCGTCTCTTAGTGGCTCGAGTGCGACCCCGAAATTTACGAAATCGAAGCGGTCGTCCTGCCGCGACTTTCCCAAGACCTCCAAAGCCGTAGCGTAACGATAGCCGAGATGTTTCACCCTGCCCTGGACGACTCGACCGATCTTGGGACTACTCGACGTGATCGTCATTTTGTGGGTGGCGGGGTTAAGATCCATCCCTTCCAAGACATCCACCAAGATAATCAAAATCTTGACAGCCGCCTCAATAATCATAGTGGCCGCCCCCCTGATCGCTATCGTGACGTCGTCGGCGTACAAATCAATCGTCTTCGAGATGAGAAGGAGGAGGAGGAGGAGGAGGAGGAGGAGGAGAGGCAGGACACCTAACGGTGGCGCCGCGTGGACGCAGAGCGAGCCCACCTACCGCTGGGATGCAGTCGGGGCCAGCGCCTCCCTCCCATGAAAGCGGCGCCGTCCTGGAGGTCGTCCACGGGTGGCAGCGCGAGGCGCGCGCTCCACCTCCGCACGGCGCCGTCCTGAAGGTAGCTGCAGACCTTCTCTTCTTCCTCTTCCTCCTCGCTATTTTTCTCCAACTCCTCCTCCTCCTCCTCCTCCTCCTCCCTCTCTTCCTCCTCCCCATCCTCCCTCTCTTCCTCCTGCCCCTAATCTTCCTCCTCCTCCGCCTCCTTCTTCTTCTCCTCTTCCTCCTCCTCCTTTTTCTTGTCCTCCTCCCCCTCTCCCTCCTCCTCCTTTTCCTCTTCCTACTCCCCCTCCCTCCTCCTCCTCCCTCCTCCTCCTCCTCCTCCTCTCCTCCCCTCCCTCCCTCCTCGTCCTCCTCCCTCCTCCTTTTCCTCTTCCTCCTCCTCCTCCCCCCCTCCCCCCTCCTTCTCCTCCTCCTCCTCCTCCTCCTTCTGCTCCCCTCCCCCTCCCCCTCCCCCTCCTCCTCCTCCTCCTCCTGCTCCTCCTCCTCCTCCTCCTCCTCCTCTTCGTCTTCTTCTTCTTCTTCCTATTTTTATAATTCTTCTTTATGTTATGATTCCTCTTCTTATTCTTCTGCTTCTGTTTCTTCCTCCTCCTCCTCCTCTCTTCTCTTTTCCCCCTCCTCTTTCGACCGTAATCAGTTTGGCTCAAGCTCGATGTATTTGGGCGCAGGCCCCAGGGAGCCAGCAACGCCACCGTGGTCGCGCGACCAGGGGAGGCGCGCCTCGCGCCAGCGCGTAGGCATGCCCCCGACGAGATGCCACTGGCGCTCTGCCGCCTGGGCTACGCCGCCCAGCGCAGCGGGCCAGTCCAGGGCGCCGATGTCGCCACCCTGGCCCTGCAGCTACGTGAAGACGTTCGGCTTGCTGCTGGAGCTGCGCCTCGGCCAGCTGCTGTCGGATATCTTCCTTCCGCTGGATGGGCTCCTCAGCCAGATGACGCCGTCGAGGGGTCTGCGACGGCGACTCTGGCCATGCTCGCCGCGCCCAGGCAAGACGTGCAGCTGACCTTCCAGCTGGGCCCGCCGTGAATGGGCAGGAAGAGCAGCAAGAAACTGACGCCGTGTCCAGAAGGGTGAGGATACGGGACGATTCGGGCCGTGCTCACCGAGATTAGGCAGAACGTGCAGCAAATGTCCGACGACGCCCAAGTCCAGATGGTCGAGGGATCCGTGACGGAGATCCAGACCAGCATCACCATCGGGCAGGCCGTGCAGCTGATGGCCGGCGCCGCCCAGGTCCAGAAGGTCGAACGATCTGCGACGATCCAGACCCATGCTCTCCGCGACCGGGCAGGACGTGCCGCCGAAATCAGACGCCGCCCTGGCCCAGCAGAACGGGCAAGAAGCACAAGAGAAGGCCGACGCCACCCTGGCCCAGAAGGCCGAGGGATCCGTGACGAGCCAGGCCATGCTCGCAGCAACCGGGCAGGACGTGCAGCAGATGGTCAACGCCGCCCACTTCTTCGGCGGGGCCAGTTGGATCAAATATGTCAAGCTGCTGGTGGCAGCCAGTGTGGAGGCCCATAGTCTGCGGACAGAAAGGATGAGGGGGGGGGGGAGGAGGAGGAGGAGGAGGAGGAGGAGGAGGAGGAGGAGGAGGAGGAGGAGGAGGAGGAGGAGGAGGAGGAGGAGGAGGGGAGAGGAGGAGGAGGAGGAGGAACAGAAGGAGGAGGACGACGTGCGGAGCAGATGGTCAACGCCGCCCAGGTCCAGAGCCGCAACGGTGCCGAGGAAGGTGACATGGGCTTCGACTCCCTCGACGGCGAGGCCATGAAAACGGCCCGCGGCACCCCGAGTACGGCGCGAGCCCCAACAACGATGAGGACAGCGACGCGGGCTACAACCCCTACGGCGACGAGGACATCGGCTCCCTCCGCGGCGAAGCGCTGCAGCAGCGCACTCGCGAGATGGGCGATCAGATCGTCGCCTGGGGGCGCTCAAGAGCCATCTGGCGGCGGCGAGACCATGGACAGCCCGCTGCGCCCAGTGCCTGGCGCGAGCCCCAGCATCGACGAGGAGGACGATGCAAACGTCGACTCCTTCGGCGGCGAGGCATGCCCGGCCTGCCGCACCCCGAGCATGGCGAGCCCGACGAGGACACCGACGGGGGGGGTGGCACGGGCTTCGACTCGTCCGACGGCGAGGCCATGGACGACCTGCTGCAGCCCGACTCCGTTACGAGCCCCAGCACCGAAGGGGAGGGCGACACGGGCTACGGCTCCCCCGGTGACGAGCCCGCAAGGGGATCCGAGAAGGATTCAGAGGCTGACCATTGGGATGCCGTCGTGCCGCCGATCCGATGCGTCGATTCGGTGATTGATGCGAGGCTTGCTGACCGTCCGCCCACATCTGATTTTTTCCTCTTGTGCCGTATCTTCAGCAGATTGGCACATGGACGGCGCAGCGCGTAGTTCGTTGTGCCCGAATGATCTCCTTGCGCAAGCGTCCCCCGCGGGCCCGAGGTTGGCTGCTCCCCTTCGCTCGCGTTCCGGCCCTCGCCACGCGGACTGCTGCGTGCACCGCCTGTCGAGGGCCAGGGCAGGAGTGAGGCGGGGGGCGGGAGGAGGGAGGGGAGGAGGGAGGAGGGAGGAGGAGGGAGGAGGGAGAAGGGAGGAGGAGGGAGGGAGGAGGGAGGAGGAGGTGGAGGAGGTGGAGGGGTCACCAGCCTCTTCCTGGTGCGTGCCTGCAGGCGCGTTGGCCTCAGGCGTGCATGGCGGCGCCCAGGCCCGACAGAGGCCAGGCTGCCCCGCATGCATCTCAGGTCGACCCTTCCCAGCCTCCCCCCGCTTGGCTCACAGTGGCCGAGCGAAGGTGCTGCAGCCAGACGCTGATCCACCACCTCCTCCCTCCTCCCTCCCCCCCTCCCTCCCGCCCCCCCCCCTCCTCTTCCCTCCTCCCTCCTCCTCCTCCCTTCTTCCCTCCTCCTCCCCTCCTGCTCCTCCTCCTCCTCCTACTCCTCCTCCTCCTCCTCCTCCTCCTCCTCCTCTTCCTCCTCCTCCCTCCTCCTCCTCCGTACAGAGGCCCCCTCTCCGATTGCGCAGCAGACTGTGGGCCACATCCTGCGACTGCCGTTGGGGGATCGAGGTCCTCTGGGACACCCGAGCCGGGGGATGGGCAAGGATTTAACGTGATGGGAAGGGAAGGGAAGGGAAGGGGTGGGTGGGAGGGGTAGGATGTCAGATGTGGCGGGAGTGCACCCCTTGCTTCTCTCTTCTCTTCTCCTCTCTCTCCCCTTCTCCTCCTCCTCTCTCTCCTCCCCCCTTTCCCTCCCCCTCTTTTTTTTGACCTCGCACCGCCATGCCTCCGAGACTGGACTGCCACGCACTGAGCCGAGACGCACACAGGACGTGACCGCGAATTCTTACATTAATGCTTTGAATTCATCACAGAAGACTGAAACTCCCTCCTTGTCAGGGTGATAGCCTTTCTTGAGCTTCCTGAAATTACGAATTCCAGTGACGGTGGGGGGCCTGCAGACGCGGCCGAGGCCCAGCACCTGAGCACCACTCGAATAAAATTTACAGGACAAGCAAACGAAAACATGAGAGGCGTCGGAGCACGGCAGGGCAATCACCCTGTGTCCTAATCTCTCTAACACACCCTGATCCAGTTTGGACTTCCCAGGGCACACGCTATCTGGCGGACTTTTATCCCCAGGCCTCGTAGAACCCTTCAAGCAGACCTCACACCTCCAAAGCCCACTCGAGCGCTTCCACGAGTGAGCCAGCACCAGTTTTGGGGCCGCGAGGGGAGGGTTGACTCTTTCTGAGCCTCTGAATTCGAGATGCGGCCATTCCTGCAGAACAGCAGCGCCCAGCTTTAGGACGTGCTTGGCAATCTGAATTTTCCTGTCCAGCTCATCAAGGTCACGCGGGTCAGCCGAAGGGTGCTTCTGTAAGGCACTCTTCGCTACATGATCTGCATAGAAATTCCCTTGCCTCGCAAAGCGCTCGGACGCAGAAATTCCTTCCTCGTCCAAAGCCTTGTGCGCCTGCACCTTTGTGCAGGAGCGAAAGAACTTGCCAAACAGGTGCCGAGCTTGCAGGATCGCTCCTCCGTACTGCTTTTTGTGGGAGAAGGCACTAGCAGCAGAGAGGCCTGCCTGATCGACTACATTCTTGCAGTCAATATAAAGATCTGTCTCGGCAGAGGCGTAGCAGCTCGACCAAAGAAACGCAGCGAATTCCGCTCCTTGAGGCGTCTGCGGGCAGGGGGCCCAAAGAGGGCCCGAGACCTCCCCAAGGAGCGAACCATCGTTAGAAACCATCGCAAGGCCCCAGGAGCTCCTAGAGAGCTCACGGACCAAGTGCCGACGACAGGAACCGTCGGTAAAAACGTGCCCCCAGAGCCCGTCGGAGGGAAGGACAGGAGGAGAGTCGGGGTGAGGAGAGGGGACCTCTGCCACGTGCCACTTGATCTCCACTCCTCCTTCCGAGGCCGGCTTAGGGAACACATCTCCAGGGTGTTGAAAGCAACCATACAGAAATAAAAGTCGGTCATAACCTTTAGACGCGGTGTCGAGGGCTTCTTCTTGAATCCAAGTCGGCACAACCGCATCGCGAATGGCGCGGACCTCTGCACACTGACACTGCCGCAGCCGATGAAACAGGGTATCGCTGGCTCGGCCGCAGCGCGCGCACAGGGGCGAGATAGACACATATCCAGCAGCCACTGCATCGGATGCCGTCCAGAATCCTCTGCAAGCAAGGGCCCTGATGAGGCCCTTGTCCTTCTTGGGAACCTTAGAAGAGCCTAATAGGTGCTTGGCCACGTCCCAACAGAGCCTGTGGCCCGCCCCATAGCTGTCCCCCGAGTCACGTTCCAGACCACGAAGCACGGCCTCCTTGCAAAGCACCTTAATCATCTGAGGAGTATTCAGAGTCAGCGGTATTTCTCGGCCGAAATCGTCCTTGAGGGTGCAAAAGTTCGGCATGGACCAGCCCAGCCTATACAAAGACATCCTAAGCGCAGAAATCGGGCCCGAAACTGTACTCCAACTGAGGTCGTCAGTCAGAAAAACATGCTCCCAGCCAGATCTGAGCTCGGCCCAGGACAGACTCCACTCGAAACAATGAGTCTGAAGAATCCAGATCTCTCGCGACCAGCGGACAATCGGGGCCACGGCCGCCCTCCAAGGGGGGTCGCCCTCCAGGAGAGAGATGACAGACAGAGAGCGGCCTTGCGCGCGAGGCTTGATCGTGCTCATACCCATCCTTCTCAGAGCCAATAGCTCACGGTCCGAAACCCCATAAACCTCGGTCCCGAAAATACCGCCAGCCATTGGGCCAGCAGCAAAAATTTTAGTGGCCTTACGCCCGAGGGGCTTATGAAGCTTCCGAAGCCTGCAAGCCTTGCGCGCCGCTGCCGATAAACGCGCCTTCAAGTTAACAGCTCTACCTTGTCCGCGAGCTCGGATAGCTTTGCCAGCAGCTGCGTCGATACCTAAGTTGACAATACTCGCCTTAGCTTCTCCAGCCAAGGGCCCAAGCTGGTCATGGATACTGTTCGCAACACTCTTATGAGAAGTCACAAGCCCGATCTTATCCATGGCCAGCTTGCACCTAAGAGTGGCAGTGATCGCACGATGCAAGATATTGGCACCTCGAACTATGCCCTGCACCACTTCACGAAAAGAACCAGTTTTGCTCAGAGAGGTGTCGTCAATGTAGACGTCGAAGTCGATTTTAACGCTCCGAGGGATCTCGTCGAAGGCCGACATCGCGAAAACGCGGATCAAGGAAGTAGCCAGGCTACAACCAGCGATGATCCCGTTTAGCACGAAGTACGGGCCCTCAACAAGACCATTCAGCGCCAAAAACCTAGCGGCCGAAAACGCGTTAATGGCCAACCTGGCCAGGGAGAGCGGGAAACCGTGTTCACGGCACTTGGCCCAGAGGAAACCTAACCCGATGTGCTCGTAATATTTCCTGAAATCCCAAAACAAGGAAGCCGAGAATTCACCTTTGCGCGTGCCAATCTCGGCTCGACCGGCTTGCCTCCGCACAACATCGACTGGGCCGCGGTTGGCACCTGCAGCCCAGTAAACTCTAGGATTGTCAGCCTCCCATTGCGCAACTTCGTTCCTCCTCGCCCTTCCCCAAACCCTATAGAACGCAGGAAAAATCCCGATCGGTCGGAACCCGCCCGTAGGCTTGGGCAGAAGCGCGAGCAGCACCCAAGCAAGCTGCCTTGGCAGTCTGCCCGTCGCTTCAATGACAAAAAGAAGAAAACTCATAGCCTGCAAAGCCTGGTCGCCAAGGACAGAAAAATGACGGCAATGAAATCCGTCCAGGGACACAGCGCTCCGCTCCTGGTAGGACCTGGAAATCTCCCGAAGCTCAAGAGGAGTGAGGAGGGAGGAGGGCAAGCGGATAGAGTCATCTACAATGCCCATTCCAGTACCCCTTCCCCATATGGAAGCAAGTTTGTCTCCTTCGGCTTTCAGAAGGTGTTTGGGGTCAGCAACCACAATCCCGTTGGAGGAGAGGGTGGTGGAGGGCGTCCAACCTTCGGGATCCTTCAACGCGGCGTGGGCTCTACGGCCCCCATTGTCCAGACCAGCACGAAGCCAATCATGCCAGGCAGTCCTCGAGGAGTTGGCCGCCCGCGCCTTAGCTTTAGAACAAAGACCGATCACCTCGTCAGCCAACTCCTCAAGTTCCGATCGAAATTCGGCCAACCTATCTTGCGACAAGCTAAGGCCACGATTGCCTAAGCTAGCGGCAGCACGAAACACCACAGCAAATTCGCTATCAGCAGGAGGCTGGACCGCCGCATCTGGATCTGCAAGAGACTTGAGGATGCCAGAAGCATTGCAAGCGTTGACGGTCCAGTCCTGACAGTAGCAGACCAGCGCGTGCAGCTGGGCGCGCAGCCAGTAAATCGGCTTACCGTGAGCGTCTCGTGCCCGCCCTGCAGGCCTGAGAACTGGCTTCCAGTACATCTGCGGACTCTTGCTTCTGGCTCCCTGCACTCCAAGCTCCACGCCCATGATGTTGGCGAGGTCCCTCTCCGCAGACCTAGCCCAAGAGGAATAACCTGCGTCCAAAGTACTGACAGCCAAAGAAAAATCGTCATTCAAAACCGCTTCGTACCCTCTCCGAGCAACTTCCAAGGCCCCAGACCAGTCGCCTTCCTGAGGCTGAGGGCCCACAGGGGGGACCACCGGAAGCGGAGGGGGGCGGCGGAAGGCGAGAGCCCTGAGATCCATCAGGGAGGGGTGGAAGCATAACTTGACGGGGAAATGAGGGCTCGAACCAGCAAGGGTGTCCACCTGGATCGACTTGGTTCCTTTGGCCAGAGCCCGCGAGACCAGGAAGAAATCAAAAACGGACGCCTTGCCCTTGCTGGGAAAACACGTTCGACTGGAGGGAAAGACGATCTGGCTCGAGAGCAGGAGGTCGAACTCCGAATCCTCCAGGGTGTCAGGGGTCAAGTTCCAGTCGCCCCCCAAAACAAACTCACAAGTCAGACTCGCCAAGAATTCCCCCACCGTTGACAGGATTTTGAGGTTGCCCTCCGAGAGACCTTCAGAGTGAATAAGGTAAATAGAGACCATACAGATAGCTTCGCAACCAGGTGCATGGACCATGGCTGCGACTGCTCTGCCAGGCACCACCACTGTGGTAGACGCAGCGAACATGCCGAAGCCGTCCCGCGCAAAAATAGCAGTGCCCGAGCTGACCCCTCCACCTTCACCAGGGATGCCTGGGCACCACGTCGACTTCCAGCCGAGCTTCAAAGCAGACGAAGAGGCTTGCGCAATGGCGTCAGGATCCAACAGGCGATGTTCCTGGCCCAGGATGACAGACGCGTCCGACGACTCCAGGTACGACTTGAGAGTGCCCCAAGAATTGAGATTGGCAGTCGCAACCGAAACTCCACCTTCAAAAACTTCAAAACCACCTGATCCTGAGCCCGTGGCAGATCCAACAGGGAACGGGGAGGTGAGGGTGGGGGGGGCCTGGGCGATGCCTGGGGGCACAACAACAGATCCCGGAAGGAGAGGAGCAGTAAAAGCCTGAAACCCAGACCGCTCGCTTCCCGACGAGCCAGGACATTGATGCAGCAATCTACGGAAATACCTAATACCCGACAGGTGCGACTTGGAGTTAATCACGGATTTCCTGTCGGCATAGTCCTTAAAGGCTAAAAAGTTACTGGCCAGGACACGCTGCCCTAGGCTAAAGAGAGTGCTGGCCTGCCGCGGCAGCTGCAGTAGCCGCCTGCGGCGAGACCGACGCTGCCAGTGCCTCGGCGGCCCGCTCACGCACGTCCCGCCCATCTGGCTCTTGCCCAGCAGGCTCCGCCATCTCCGCATCCTGTTCGCCGTCAGATGGAACGGGTACCTCACCAGTGTCCCGATCACCATCTGCTTCGGCGGCGGCTGCAGCGGCTGTAGCACCCTGAGCTGCAGCGCGTGGACCTTGAACTTCACCTTCATCTGGCGCACCAGCAGGCTGAGCACCGCCCTCGTTGTTCTTCCTGCGCTTCGGGACGAGACGGGACATCTGCAGCACGTGAACATTCTTCGCATCCTGCGCGGCGTTGACGACTTGCTTGAAAAGGTCCGATGCCAGCTTCTGCACTCCGTCTCGCAAAGACTCTTTCCGCTTCTCGAACTCCATGCGGTCGGTCTCCGTGACTTCGTACTCCAAGCTGAGCTCGTCCAATAGGTCACACGAAAAGAAAGAATTGATATCGACTTTGCCTTCGACCAGGTCGCCCAACGGAGTAGGTGTGAACTGCGCCAACGACACGTTGCTGGGCGACCCGATCTTGGCGCTCTCGTTGCATTCCGCCAAGGCATTCTTGTAGTCCTGGTCCGCCTTGGCCAGGGCGGACTTGGTCTCATGCATCTTGGTTGTAGCTCCCTCCAGGTCGTTCTGTAGCCTGAGCATCCGCGCGAGGTCGGCCTCGAGCTTCTTCTCCAGCTTCTTGACGGCACTGTCGGCTTGCTGCAACTTCGCCTGAGGAGAAACAGCAGGCGGTGGCTTCTGTGCATTCTCCAGGTGCTTGACGAGGTCTGAGTAGCGCTTGAACGTGACCAGGTCCCCCGCCTTCTGCGAAAGCTCTGAGAGCTGCTTCGCCTCGGCCAGGCTGAGGTTCGGCACGGGCCCAGTCGGAAGCGGAGGCTGACCCGCGACGCCCTTGCCGCCGCTAGCGCCTCCTCCCATGGCTGCAGCGCCACCGAGGCCTTTGCCCATACCTTTTGAGCTAGGACCTCCTGCGTTGAGGAAGGGAGAAGCTGCGAAGACACCTGGAGGTACACCATTCCAATCAGACAATTGAGGACTGCCACCAAAAGGACTGCTAGACATACTTTGCAGCGGGGCTTTGCAGTGCATGCAGTGGGTCCACGCGAGGCGATTCTTCTTGCAACCACAGCTCTGGCACACAACTTTGGAAGATGGCTGTCCCTGGGGCTTCCAACTTCCGTACTGCTGACCGCCATGATACTGCGAGGAAGGGGGTTGCCAGTGGTTGTACCAACCCTGGCCTTTCATGAAGAGCCGAAAGACAACCTGTAAGGCCTCGGGCAGGCTCGAACAGGGATCGTAGGAGCACCAACAATAGCTCACTGTAAGCCACCTCGAGAAATGGATTACTTGAGCCAAAATGGCTTGAGCCAAAATGGCTTGAGCCAAAATGGCTACGGACTTTCCCTCCCCCTCCCCCTCCCCCTCCTCCTCCTCCTCCTCCTCCTCCTCCTCCTCCTCCTCTGCCTCTGCTCGTGCTACTGCTGCTGATGATGATGGTGACGCTTCTCCTCCGCCTCCTGCTCCTGCGCCTCCCCCACTTCTTCGGCGGGGCCAGTTGGATCAAATATGTCAAGCTGCTGGTGGCAGCCAGTGTGGAGGCCCATAGTCTGCGGACAGAAAGGATGAGGGGGGGAGGAGGAGGAGGAGGAGGAGGAGGAGGAGGAGGAGGATGAGGAGGAGCGGGGGGGCCCCCGCGGGGGCCGCACACCCTTCATGTCTTCTTTGGGGGTCCGCCACCGAAAACGGAAACTGGCCGCGCGCCCCCGGCCCGGAATCCAAGAACGGGCAGGAGGGTGCGTTCTTGAAAGGGGCCCTAAATGGGGCGCACCACTGCTCAAACATCTCGTTGGCAGCAGCAACAGAATCATCATCATCACCACCACATTCGCCATCGCCATCGCCATCGCCATTGTCAGTGTCGCCGTCATGATCGCCATTGCCATCGTCAGCCTCATCATCGCGCTCGTCGCCGCAGTCTTCGTCGCCATCGCCACCATCGTCATCGTCATCATCTCAGCCCCCGTCGTCAGCACCGTCATCGTCGCAATCATCGTCACCATCATCGCCACCACCATCGCGCCAGCCACCGTAGCTGCTGCCTTTTTGGCTCCACGCAAGCTGGCTGGGCGCCGAAGAGGTCCTCGGATGCCGAGGAGGCTCGCGCCCACATGCAGCCGAATGCCGAGGAGGCTCAAGCCCACTTGCATTCAACTCGCGTTCGCGCAGATCCTTTTCCTTTGCCAGGCACTGGCTATGGCGCCATCTACTCGGAAGACTGATGGCGTGTGTGGAATGCAACTGGCGTTAGCATCGCCATCCGAAAACGTGATGGGTGGTCGGGTCGCATGCTCACCTTGAGCGGCCCTGCAGCTAGCATTGACGAAGCGAAGGCGATGGCCGAAGAGATGGTGCTCGCAAGCCAGCGTTCAGAAAGCCGGCATAGTTTTGTTCGAGAGCCTTGGGTGTACGTTGGCAACAACGCGCAGACCATCGAGGTGTTTGTTCTCGGCCTATGTCAGGTAGGCATGCACCCCCACGAGTGCATGACGCGACTCTCTTCCACGAGGTGCCTCGCAGGATCAAGGAGTACTGCGACGTGGGCCAGCTGGACCAGCTCGTCGACAGCAGGCTGTTTCATTATCCGAAGGTGAAGTGGCCCCACATCGGCGAGCACTACTACTTCCTGCGCAACGTTGTACAGCGCGACCACTTCCCGACGTGGCTCGCCGACGTCAAGAGGGATTTCAACAGTCGCCGACAGCAGGGCGACGCGCGCGTGACTGCGACTCACTGCAGGCAGGGCATCCATCGGAGCGTTGGTTGCGCTCGGGTAATCGCTGGAATTCTAAAAAGGCCGAAGGATTTGTCGTTGAAGAGCCTGTCTGGCTGACGCAGTTCCGCTCATTTCGCGGTAAATTCTGTAATTCTGATTGTTACGAGTGGGGTCGTACTTTGATGGCAGGGCCGCGGTTTTCAGTCGCGCTGTCGAGGTCAGGCGCAACTGCGGCTAGGCAGATGCCAGCGGCGCTGCGAATGGTGCGCGCAGAGGGGCGCTGAAAAACAAAAAAAAAATAATCGGATTTGCGATCGCCATCGTCATGATCACCACCATCATCACCATCGTCACCAACATCACCACCACCCTACCCTCATCACCACCATAACCACCACCATCACCATCAACACAACCACCATCACCACCACCGTAATCACCACCGTCATCACCACCATCATCACATCATTATCGCAATCGCCATCGCCATGAGTGGGGGATCACCATTGCCATCTCCGTCGCCATCATCATCGTGGCAGGGTCGACTGCAGCAACACCACTGTAACACCACTGCAACACCCTGTAACACCCCCTGTAACACCGCAGCCCTCGCCGGCACCACAGCTGCACCACGACTGTAGCACCGCAGGGCGTCGCTGTAACACCACAGTAACACGCTGTAACACCATGCGCTTGCTTCCGCTGCCAGCTTTGGCTCAAGCGAGGCTTCGGCCCAGCAAGACGCGCGCAGGCTCCGGCCGGACGCAGTCCCGATCGAATTTACCTCTCTTAGCGATCAATGGCATCACGCGCGGCGGCCCCGGCTGCAGCGCGCGCGGCGGCCCCAGCTGCAGCGCCTGCGGCGGCCCCGGCTGCAGCGCCTGCGGCGGCCCCGGCTGCAGCGCCTGCGGCGGCCCCGGCTGCTGCGCCTGCAGGCGTCGGCCAGGGTCGGGCGCGCGCAGCTGCGAAGACCAGTGAGTGCAGTTGCGGCAAGGACAAGCAGGTCGACAGCAAGCGGCGCAGCGCGTGCCAGCGTGACGCGACCAACCTCTGTCGCGCAATGAAGTCCCTCGGCGTCGAGAAGGCTGAACGGTAGCAGCAGGCGCCGGAGAGTGGCGCAGTCGATCGCGATGAGTTCCTGGCGAAGGCCAAGGGCTACTCGCCTAAGGATGTTGCCAAGGTCATCTGCAGCTACGTGGAGGAGACCACCGCCAACGAGTGCAGCGTGGAGATGGTGGGCACTGGCGTCTTCATGGGCGAAGACGACCTCAATGCGAAGTGCGCCAATCCGAAACGTCTTGCTGCGATCGAGAAGAGTGCGCAGCGCGCATGGTGCCCCACTGGCGAGGTCGAGCTTTTCGAAGGCATGCCGTTCCAGAGCACGGAGAAGAACCTCCGCAAGCGTGCTGTGACCGAGGGCCATCGCTCTGCAGGCGAGGCCAATATCAAGAAGGCGAAGGTGGAGAGGCCCAAGCCAGTCAAGCAGAAAATCACGGGCGGTGACGATTCCGAGCCTCAGGACATCACGCCGCGACAAAGAAGAAAGCCGACAAGTGGATCGCCATCTACGCGAAGGAGTTGGAGGCACTCAAGGCTAGCATCGACGAATGCACGTAATTACGCTGCCTGGAAGGAGTACATCCCAACGTGCGTCTCGAGGAAGTCGCAAGCCACGTTCGCCAAGCTTGATGCGCACAACCTGGCTGTCCAGGCTGTCATCTCAGAGGGCAGGTGCGTGGACTTCAAGAAGATCGAGCCTGACCGCGAGGATGTCAGCAGCAAGATCGAGGCGGCCAAGCGCGCTCTGGGAGTGCAGATCGAGGAGGCGAAGACTGCGCTTGAAGAGGTCCTCTGACTGAGACAAGTGGCCAGCGCCTCAGGGGAGTGCGACAATTGCTGCGGAATTCGAAGGGGCTACATCGACGTTTCTCCATTTCGCCAGCGCGCATGTGGGATTTGCGCACGTACACAGTACAATATTATAGGCCACGGCGTTGGGTCATGCGCCGCGGGGAGGTTGCAGCCACAGGAGGAAAAAAAAGCCCAGCAGCAGCAGCAGTAGCAGGAGCAGGAGGACGAGGAGGAAGGGGGCATGGAATAGGGGGGGAGGAGGAGGGGGGAGAGGAGGAGGAGGACCTGTTTTTCTAAAGCTGTGTAGAACGACATTTTTTCTGAGGCGGGGGACCGGGGAGGACGGGGGAGAATTAGGATGAGGAGGAGCAGCAGCACCACCACCGCCACCGCCATCACCGCCATCGTAGAAGATCACCATCACATAAGACAGCACCACCATCATCACCACTACCACTATACCTAGGTGCAATGCATGTGTCTACCGCGGTCGCTTATTGTTTCAAAGCATCGGGTTGACCATTGTGCGCCCAACGGCTACAATCCAATACAATCACTACCACGATCATCATTACCATTATCACCAGCATCACCATCACTACCATCACCACCAACACACCCATCGCCACTATCCACTGTCACCGCTATCGCCATCATCACCGCTATTGCCATCATAGCCTAAACAAGATAACCACTAACACCGCCATCACCGCGTAACCACATCGGCTCAGGTGCATTCGAGAGGCCGGAGCCCACTTCCGATTTGATTGACATCTAGTTTTGCCTTCCAGTCATTCGCCAACTCGATGGTGAAAACGTCATTTCTGGAGTTCGTCCAGAAACGCCTTCAGTACACAGAGCTGATGCAGACTAGTGGCGTGGTCCCTGGGACACCAAGGTACGAGCAGCTCTTGGTTGATTGCTCCACTGGGGTCCTTGCCATGCTCAGGGCGATGAAAGCCATCACGGTCGGCGAGGCCATGGACGCGAGGGCCACATTGGATTCCAAGTCGGTCTTGTCGTCAGAGACGACAGACAGCATCATGCAGGCGATCGGTGCCAAGGTCAACATGTCCAGTTCTACGCCATCGGGCTTGCCCAATGGCGATGGGAAGCAACGCCGCACCTCGATCGACAACTACATGACCGAGCAGCTCTGGGATTCGATCGTTAACCCGAATGTCCTCAAGGACAACAATTTGCACGTCATGTCCAAGTTGTTCATATCGCTGGGTTTGGTGAAGCCCAACGAGAAGACGTTTGCGATGGGGTGCGCCGTTGCTGCTCACGTGCATGGGCTGGACGTGGCCCAGATGCTGATCGACATCCGCGCCTTCCAGAAGATCTTCAGGACCATTAGCGACTCAGCTACATCATTCGCAACTGGGCCGACGAAGTATCCAGATTCTGCTCAAGAGTTTCACTCGTTGCACCCCGAGCTCCACCTGCAAACTTTACCCGAGGAGCAGCCTGTGCAATCCAGGTGGCCACCCGACTACCGCGCAATGGTGACGCAGCTTGCTCCATGCAGGGGTTCGAAGACTGACGTTGGCAAGCTCTTGCTGCAGCCTGCTGGTTTTCCTGGGGCAAGCGTGCCTGGCGCCACTGATCAGGGCGCACATCATTCTGTGCTGCGGCTGTGCGCCCCCAAGGTGGCTCCCATGCCGCATGTACGCATGGCGCCACGCATGGCAGCGCGCACATATGCAGATCCTGACCAGCAGCAGCAACAGCAGCAGCAGCAGCAGCTGCAGCAACAAGGGCATCAGCAGCACCAGCCGCTGCTGCGACCGTCAGCGCCACTGTTGGAGTTGCCAGCCCCACCGCCGCAGCCCCCGACGCCAACCACGATGAATGCAACTACGCTGCCATCGACAATCCAATATACGGCTCCAGCAGCCCTGCCTCAATGGCCATCGGCGTCAGTTCCACTCGAGGCTGCGGGCTCGGGCATCGCGGTGAAGGTGCCGACGCTGGCCGAGGCAACTGACAGGATCAAGCAGGAGCTGTAGGCCAAGAGTACACCTGCAGCCGATGCCGAGCAAGAACCCGAAGACGCTGAGGACGAGGTGGGCCCCTCCAAGAAGAGGCCTGCAAGCGCCGCTCTGAAGAACCTGAATAAGGTAGCGAAGAAGCCAACGGCTGCCCACGTCCCAGTCATCTGGGAGAGACCGCCCCCGTGCCCTCGCATCGGGTTACCTGCGACGCTCTACAAGAATGCGAAGATCTACGTGTCCGACCCGCAGAAGTGCTTCAAGGTGTTCTGTGATGCCACGAGGGGCGCCAGCGAGGCCAAGGTGTCATTCTGTGGCGACAAGCCTACCAAGGCGAGGTGGTTGATTGCGCTGCAGAAAGATGACGAATACAAGTAGTGCCGTGCACTACGCGAGGCTGTAGCCCGAGCTCGGCATGAGGGGCGACCGAAAGCGGCGGGGGAGTTGCACAAACACATCATCACATCATCATCGCCTCCTCGTCCTCCTCCTCCCCCTCCTCCTCCCTCCTCCCTCCTCCCTCCTCCCTCCACCTCCTCCTCCTCCTCCTCCTCCTCTTCCTCCTCCCTCCTCCTCCCTCCTCCTCCTCCTCCTCCTCCCCTCCGCCTCCTCCCTCCCTCCTCCTCCCTCCTCCTCCCTCCTCCCTCCTTCTCCCTCCTCCTCCTCCTCCTCCTGTTGCGCCCTGCTGCAGCTGTTGCTGCTGCTGATCTTCCCCCTCCTTCTCAAGCCTTTGTTGGCTCAATGTTGTATCTCCCATATTCCAGATTTCTTTGGTGTTGATGTATGTTATGTTGTGACAGGTTGTGTTACTGTATGCTAGTTCATGTTATTTGTTCATATTTCATGTTATCTCACGGTAACCTTTAGTAACCTTATTACAATACCACGAAGTGTACCACTATGGTATACTTATACATGTCATGGCGCGTTGTAAAGTTTGATAGGTTTAGCTGGAACAATAACCAGGTTGCACGCCTACAACTAGGCTGTGACAGCGTTACAACCATGTAGCAGTATATATATATATATATATATATATGTATAGAACTATGCGTTGGTAAAAAGCATGGCGCCAAACCAATAATCATGGTAGTACCGAAGTCTTCTTCTTCTTCGACTCCAACGGTCCTCCGCGTCGCTGCCCTCGTCGCTCGGCAGCTCCCACTCCCCCTCGCCGCACGCGGCGGTGGTCCTCCTCCCGCGCCCCTCTCGCGGGGGCGCTGCCGGGCACGTCAGAGACCAAGATGGCGAGCGGCCTACCGAGCGCAAGGAGGAGCGGGGGCCAGCGGGCCGTGCCCTCGCGCGGGAAGGGGCCGCCATCCTGGGAAGCTCCCATTCCGCATACCGCCGCGGCCCCCCTCCTCCTCCTCCTCCTCCTTTTCCTCCTCCTCCTCCTTTTCCTCCTCCTCCTCCTTTTCCTCCTCCTCCTCCTTTTCCTCCTCCTCCTCCTCCTCCCCCCCTTTTCCTCCTCCTCCTCCTCCTCCTCCTCCTCCTCTCCCTCCTCCTCTCCCTTTCCCTCTTCCTCCTCCTGCTATTCCTCCTCCACTTCTTCCTCCTCTGCCCCTCAAAGAAGAAACAACACTGTAAACACAGACTTTCGGAACTCATCCCTGTCAGGCCTGAGCGGGATCGAGCCTCGACATCGGATCGGACCGGCAACGGCTCGGATCGCCAGCGAATCGCCCCGAAGCGGATCGCAGTCGGATCGCCGCGCCCGACTGCAGCTGGCCCCAGCCGATGCCGGTGCACCGAGTCAAATCGAATCGCATCGGAATCGCGGGCCCACTCCGCAAAACGAAACGCATCGTATCAGATCGCAAGCGGCCCTGCCCGTGCAAATGGGGAGGGCGACGACGGGCGGGAGACTGCGCCGGGCAAGGCGAAGACAAGACAAGACGGGGACAAACTCGGACGAGGATAGATTGGAGATCTCTGGGGGACGGCGGGTCTGGAGGACGTATCGGGTGCCGTGGCCGTTTCAGGGCGCTCACGCTCTGGAGCGATCCATCTAAACTGTAGGCCTGCCCGACAGTGGCCAGCCCTCGCCCTGTCCTCCCCGACAGCAGTCGTCTTCAGCCACGACGGCAAGGACGCGTGACTCTGGACATCGCCGTGGTGGGAGCCTTCCTGGTCGAAGCCCTGGTGCGCACCGCTGCTGGCAGGGACGCCGCGGTCGCCGCGCACTGATGAGCGTGATGCTCTGGCGACGATGATGATGGTGGTGTGGATGAAGGAGCAGCTGGTGTCGGCTCCCTCCTCCTCCTCCTCCTCCTCCTCCTCCTCCTCCTTTTCCTTATAAACAAGTTCTCCCTGTCGCACTCCAAGGCCAGGTCTTAGGGCGGGCAGGGCGTTTCGCCTGAGACCTCCTCACCATTTATGCTTCTGAAGCTTAAGCAGTATTGAAAGCGGGTGGTTTTCAACATGTGGCTCTCGCCTTCGCGCCGTGCACTTTCGTTTTTTGTTGAACAAAGAAATTACAAGTGCTTCACGGATTGAGGGCGGGTGGTTTTCAAAACGTGGCTCTCGCCTCAGCGCCGCGGACACTCGCTGTAAACATTCACAATAATTTCACGGATTGAGGGCGGTTCCTTTTCAATATGTGGCTCTCGCCTTAGCGCCGCGCACATTCGTTCATAAAAATTAAAAGAGTTTCACGGATTCCCCTGATCAGCGTACCAGAACTTTTGCTTTGGACGGGCTCAGGATTATGCGGGTGCAACAATTATGTTGATTCGCGCTGTTGAAATCCTCAAAATGGCGTTCTGGCGCGATTCTTGATCGTCAAGACGCAGCAATCAGGTTGATCCGTGGCGTTGAAATCCCGAGAATGTTTTGGCATGCTTCGAGGTCTCCAAGGGTGTCTTTCAACGAGTCAGTTCCCTCAATGGGAGTGAACCGCTGTAGGGGCTTATGAAGAGGGAGCTTGGAGGGAGGGTTAATTCCAACATCGTTGATGACTCTTTGGTTTACACTGGTTCTCCTCCTCATCCTCCTTCCTCCGGGTGTCGGCGCAAGCCCTGCGGACAATGCCCACGCGGCCCTGGAAATCTGCGATGAGCTTGTCGAGCGGGGTGAGGCAAGACTTCGGCACCTGCTGCAGGACTACCAGTTCCCCTCCCCTTGCGTGAGGCGAGAGCAAGATACGAACGCATCGGGCACGTACGACTAGCTCAGATAGCTCTTGGAGCTGGGAAACCAACGAGATGTATGCGGTGCCACGGCCGTTCCTTAGTGTCCCAGAACGCGTTGAGACTTCTGGAAGGACTAATTCGCACAAATCATGAAGCTGTCCCGTTATCCTCGGACAACCTCGGCGTCCTACCTCGGCCCTCGGAGGAGGAAAGTGAAGGATGGCGGAGGAGGGATGAAGAGGGCTGATGAGGAGAAAGAGAATGGCGTGCGAAGAGGATGGGATGGGATGGGATGGGGTGGGGTGGGATGATGCTGTTGTTGATGATGAGGAGGAGGAAGTGGAGGAGGAGGAGGAGAAACAAGAGGAGGAGAACGAGGGACTCTGCCCCCCGAGGCCGCTACTGCTGATCAGGCGCCACAGCAGGCCGCGGCTCGAACCTCTGCGCGTCCACGCTCTTCGCCCTCGGGCGGTCCATCGCGTCCCGCTTCGCGCCAGCCCGCCTTCGTGAGCTTGGCGAGCCGTACATACACCCTGCGAAATGCTTAAGAAATCATGGGTTAAGAAATTCATAGTCTCAGAAAGTGAATAAAACCCAGAACTTCTATCAAAATCTTGGGATTTACATTGAAAAGTTAAGAATAATCGAGACTCAGGACGAAAACTTAGGTTTTCTTAAGCATCGCCTAAGGTGTACTTGCCAAAAGACCAAGCGAAGACAAGGATCAACTTGAACGGAGAAGCATCGGGGATCTATGAGAGCCGGCGGGTTCTGTAAGACGCATCGGGCGCCGCAGCAAATTCCCGGAGCGTTCAAGAGCGCATTGTGAACGTTCCAGGAGGCTCGGGGACGATCTATCTTCATCCAGTGCCTGCCTGGTGCAAATTTCTGAAGTCAGACCATGAATCATAATGTCGGACCGTGAGCCCGCAAGGCCAAGCGGGTTCGCGTCAGTCAGAGAATCCGTCCGCCGCGCAGAAAAAAATGCTCACCCGTCAAAGGCCAAGCAAAATATGAAACATCGCTTTTAAGGAAAAGTGCATCGTGCAGATGGTGACGCGGAAACCGGCTCTTCAGCAGCAGCAGCAACTGCAAACTAGTCGGCCGGCGAATCTGAACACTTGGAGAGGCAGAGCGCCTCAACTGCGATGGGGAATTTCTTCCAGAGCAGCCCTCGGTTCCGGCCCGCCGACGGCCTCCAGAGCAGGTTGTTCTGACCAGTGTAATGCCGCACCATCGCGCACGCCGACAGGGCGATCTAAGACTGGGGCCCGGGGGGTGAGGCTGGACGGTACGATCCTCCAGCACAGGCACGACCTCGACGGCGTTCTCCAGCGAGGCGTCGGGCTTTCTCCTCCATGGTAGTCCAGCGACTGCCCAGGCGTTGCGTCCAGAAGCCGGGCGCCTTGGCCAAAAGGATACATGAGAATACTTCTCCTCCTTCGTGCGGACTACAGTGAACTACAGCACCCGCGAGGTGGCGACATCCTAACCCTACCCCCTACCCCCACCAACCATCGACTCTCCTGAATCGATGGGAGGCGTGGGTCGGGTTTACCGCCTCGTGTTCGACGAATTCCGAACCCTACCCCCGCCGCCCACCGAATTGCCTGACTCGTTGGTTGGCCATGGTAGCGCTTCCGCGCCGACACGCCCGACCAATTCTCGAGCACGTCGCGGTGCCGCTGCGCTTGCCGAGCGCCCCGCACACGTCGGTCGATGGGTGGTTGCTGCCCGAGCGCGACGGCGCCGTGCTGGTGCCGCGCACGCGGAGCGGATGGGGCCGCGCGGATCTCTGACAATTTAGGGTTATGCAGTTTTTTCCCCAACCAACCTGTGGTTGGATCCACGGTTTGAAGAGACAGTCCCCGCGTCACTTCCTTCTTCCTTCCTTCCTCCTTCCTCCTTCCTTCCTTCCTTCCTTGCTTCCTTCCTCCTCCTCCTCCTCCTCCTCCTCCTCCTCCTCCTCCCTCCTCTCATCCCTGCCTCTGTTTCCCCCACCCAGTACAGCGTTTCGCGGCCCCTGTGGCAGTGTCCACATGCGGTTCCCCCACCCAGTGCAGCGCTTCGTGGCCCCATGAAAAGCTCCACCGAAAGTCCAAGTGCTACCGCCCGCATGCGGCCCCCCCACCCAGTACAGCGTTCGTGGCCCCATAAGGGGGCTCCTCCGGAGGCCCCAGTGGAACCGTCCGCATGCGTCCGCCCACCCAGTACAGCGTTTCGTGGCCCCATAAGGAGCTCCTCCGGCGGCGCCAGTGGCACCGTCCGCAGGCAGTTTCCCTACCCAGTATAGCGTTTCGTGGCCCTACAGGGAACTCCACTGAAGGTCTCACTGGCACTTTCCGCATGCGTCTCCCCCACCTAGTACAACGCTTCGTGGCCGTGTAGGGAAACCACCGAACGCCTCAGTGGCACTTTCCGCATGCGTCTCCCCATCCTGTAAAACGTTTCGTAGCCCCATAAGGAGCTTCACCGAAGGCTCCAGTGGCAAAGTCCATATGCGTTTCCCCCACCTAGTACTACGTTTCTTGGCCAACGGGACCCATAGGGAGCTCCACCGAAGGCCCCAGTGGAGCCGTCCGCACTCATCTCTCCCATCCAGTCTAGCGTTTTGTTGCCCCATAAGGGGGCTCCACCGAAGGTGCCAGTGGCAAAGCTCGCCCCCACCCAGTACAGCGCTTCGTTGCCCCATAGGGAGCTCCACCGAACGCGCCAGTGGCAAAGCTCGCCCCCACCCACTGCAGCGTTTCCTTGCCCACAGGGAACTCCACCGAAGGCCTCAGTGGCTATGTTCGCGTGCGTCCCCCACCCCACCCAATGCAGCGTTTCGTGGTCCATAAAAGGCTCCACCGAAGACGATAACCACAACTGCGGGACTCACAACTGCATACGGTAGGGTTCTTCGCCAAACTAATTTTTTTTCGAGTCAAGGGCACCTTCGCTGAAGGCCGAGGGTGCCACGCACGCAACCAGGACAAATGGCATTCTGAGGTGGAGGGCTCGAACACGAAGAACACGAGGATGCCCATCCAGAGGTGGCGTCGTTCTTGACCCTCGTGCCAACAGCAGGGCCTGCTGAATGCCCCGCGCATGTCGGCCGACGACCTGTCGGCGCCCGCGCGAGACAGCGACGTGCTAGTGCGGAACGCGCGGACCAGATGGGTCCGCACGTGGAAGTGATGTGGGCCGCAGGCAACAAACACCCTATCCTCGATGCGGAAGAGGTCCCTGCCGCGTTCGTCGCCATGCACGCGATGGGGTCGGAGGATCGCGCCGTATCGCCGATGCATCTGCGACGCATCATCAATGCATCGGCGATGCACTGGCGACGTTGCCACTGTATCGGCGACGCCGGCGTGGAGAACATCTGATGCGACATCCAACCGCACCGCCGATGCATCGGCGATGCGGAACGACCCTTCGATCCCATCTATTCGGACCCCATTCGGGAAACCTGAAAGTTTTTGGTGGAGATTCAGCGATGCCATCGTCGTGCTAGGTGCTACCATCAGGAACGCTGGGTAAGTAACGAAAGGGCCTTCCTGGCTACGGCGACCAGGGCTCCTCCTGGGCCCAAGCGGGTCCTTAATTCAGCTCCTTGGCTGAACGGGCCGCCTCGAGGAAGCTGCCGGCGCTGCTCGCTCCCGAAGCTGCTCGTTGGCTAGTCGGATGGCCACCAACGCATTGTGCACTTTGCTCGAGCAGTCCGGGCTCGTGCAATGTCGCCTGCACAAGCACAGCTCGTGCCGAAAATCTCCACCCCGAGGCCCGGGCCGCGCCGCTGTGTCCCTGCAAGCAGCAGCAGCAGCGCGCCGGGCGGCGCTTCATGGCCGCGGATGTCCTGCACACGGGGTCTCTCGGCGACGCGGCGGACTCAACCCTTGAGGCACACATTGCGCGAGCCAAGATAGTCATGGCAGGATACGGTACGATACGCACACCCTTAGCGCTATGTTGTCTGATTGTCCTGTGAGTAATGTACTCACTCATCTTTAAAAGCGAGCAGCACTGGGCCCTGAACATTCAAGACTGACTGGAGGCTATGTGACGTGGTGAACCTTCCCTTTTGGAATGGGTGCCTATGCCAGGCTCTAAGCACCAGGGCCGCAGACGAGGCTCCGCACAGGGCCGTCCTGGCCCCTGCAGCCACCGACGCATAAGGTGGCCGCAGGAGACTGAGGCGGGATTATTCAGGGTTGACCGCTCTCTTAGCAATGTCAAATATGTTTCTACTGCTAGCAAGACTGGCGAGCCTCTGAGACCCTCGGTAGATCCCCCTGGAGGCCAGGCATTCAGTTACTACTTGTCTGTCGACCTAAAACGTGGATGAGGAGGAGGAGGAGGAGGAGGAGGAGAGGAGGGCTCCGAGGCTCGAGAGGGGCCGAGAGAGCGGGGAAACAACTGGGAGGCCCAGAGTGGCGCACGGGCCTAGTAGAGGTAGTAGGCGAGCTGGCCCCAATCGAACTCGGCGGAAGTCTTGATGCGGACGCGGGTAAGTAGTCATCCAAATCAATGTATGCGGCAGGCTCGGGAACGCGAGAATCAATGTCAAAAAAGGGCCCGGCAGTGTCGAACTCGAACCGATCTGATCTAAATTGAACGCTGCTCGCACGTCGTTGACCTCGACAGGGGTAGAAGCCTCAAGTCTGTGAAAGTCGTCGTCATCCTTGCTGGGCGCGCCCCCAGCAGGCAGGTCACCGTCACCGACGGATCCCGGAATCTGGCTTTCGCCACGCTGCTGACAGAAGGGGGCTCCCTCCTTGCTGCTAGGCGCCCCCTCGGCAGGCAGGTCGCCGTCACCGACGGGTCCCAGAATCTGGCTTTCGCCGCGCTGCTGGCCGAGGGGGCTCCTACTTCAGCAAGGCCACCAGGAAGTATTAGATCTCCATGAAGGACGCAAGGGCTCGGCCGTGCTTCCCCGTCGTCTGCGGCACCTGGGAGAAGCGGGCCAAAAGGGTGCTCCTGAACTTCGGGTCCATGGTGCCGAAGGTGATCCTGCGACGTTCCTTCTGGTTAACTTTGTCCTGGCGGCAAACTAGAATGAGCTCGCGCTTCTGCTCGACTGCGTAGCCGTCGTACTCCGACCGGGCCGTCATGAAGTCTGCGGGGTTCTGGGCTACGAGACTGTCTCCGTGCGTTAGGAGTCCCTTGATGACTCCGCCCATCGCGTAGATGTGGTTGGTGGGTGGGTGGGCGGGGGGGGGGGGGGGGGCGAATTTTTTGCCTTTGGCCTTGGTTTCGCTGGCGTAGGCGACCGTTTACTCGCTCATCATCGTGATGAAAGCTACCGGCATGGGCGCGAGGAGGGTGTCGAAACTGGCCCCTGACATGTCTCTGCGCTGCTGGCTGAGCCCGGGGATTTGCTTTAGCATGAGCGCGAACAACTTCTTCGAGGGCGAGCGGAAGGGCGAGGAAGAGGCGAATCATGGGAGCAAGGGCGAGTATGTCTGTGATGGCGCACGGTGCCCCCATGACCG